TCTCAAAAGTTTACAGCATCCATTCTGGCATCGTAAATGGCTATCAACACAGGCTCTTTCAAGATGTCAAATTAAAATTTACCTCAAGAACACCCTGATCAGGAGAAGGTGGTACAATTCCTGGAAATAAATCAGCTAAAATACTCTCAAATAGTGGAACATCTTCTGCTAAAAACTTGGGTAAATTGGCATCACGCAATGAATGAATCATTATATGGGATTCTTCTTCATCTTTTAATGGTTTTACTGTACCATCAGGCCTGAAATTACAATAACAATATAAAACATTGTGTAAATAGGTGAAATAAGTAGATTTTAGACTAAAAAACTTATTAAAAGCTCATTAGGTCTTTGATTCTCAAAGTAAGATGAAAAATAACAACACAAATCTTAGATATCTACATTGTCAACAATGTTATCTTAGCCATTCACTTTCTACAGCATCTAAATAGCCAGGTGTATCCTTGAGGTGAAATTAGAATATTGAGCAGAACATCTACCTGTATCCACTAAAACATATCTTACCTCTGTTGAGCATGACGTCTGCCATGGCCAGCCATTACTAAAACTGATTTTATAGCTCTCATGCCGAAATCATAATGATCTTGTTGTGAAAGTTGTTTACTGGCCAACTGATATAGATTGACTATTTTCTGGGATAAAGATTTGGCATCACGGAAACCTTCAGAAAATAGGATGATTTCAGCAATCAAGGCATAATCTGGTACCATCATAGCTACTGGACGGAATAATGATTTCAAATTATCTGGTAGATCTACTCGACCAGCATATCTACAATATAAATGGTACTGAATACAAATTTGTCAGAAATAAATGGATGAATTAAGATATAAAATTACATGAACACAAATACTAGAAGTTAATCTTATGATTGTGATGTTTGTAAAAAGTGTCTTTAACAGTCCAGTAGTCTCAATACTGACATGAGAGTGCACATTAACTGAGCAGAAACAATGGCTGGGATCAACTGCAAAAACACTTGGAGAAATTCTCAATTTTCAAGACCTATTTTGTATTAATTTTACATGTGAAAAGAAGGAGAAATCCAAGAGATACTGAGAATTTTCTTCATGTATGTTGTGTAAAATCTTACGTTGGATTCATGGTGATGAAGTATCCACAACTCATATTGAGTTTAATATCACGACTTTCAAACATAAAGCGTAATGATTGGGTGTCTTTAGCAGCTTTAATAGTATGAATCTGTTGAGCTACGACTGATAGAACTTCTACATCAATACGATTAAATTCATCAAAACAACACCAACTACCAGATTGAGCTAACCCTGAGAAAAACTTTCCTAACATCTGAAATATTATCATACATCATTAGAGTGGAAGGAACAAGAGTGCTCTGTTTAACAACAGAACTGAACTTTAATCTCATGTTGTTCAGTAGCAGTCACCAAAACAGTAGGGAGGCAGTTTTTATTTGATTATGGTGCCTAAAGAGGCTAATGTTTATTTAGCTTAGGTCTTTTAAGATCAGGGAGGCTAAGAAACCTCTAGCCTTCCTGGCTTATGGCTCAACCGTGCCTGATCCATGACTATATATTTACTCATATAAAATATGTTTTAGAAGATAAATCTATAATATTACCTTATAATCTAAACCTTCAGAACAATTAAATACAACACATTGTTTTCCCATAGCCTGAAAGTATAAATTAATGTGTCAATGAAAGCCATTCTAAAACTGCTCTAGAGAATGTATGAATCTTTGAGAAATCAATCAATAGAGCCAAAATCAAAATGAAATTTTATGCCCTACTCCAGATTGGGCTCATATATAAAGTAAAAAATAATCACCTTGGCCAGATCTTTAACTGTTTCTGTTTTACCAGTACCAGCAGGACCAGCTGGTGAACCACCAAGATGAAGATGTAAAGCACCAGTTAATGTTAAGTAACATCTATCTGTTAATGGTGTAATAACTAATCTTGGTGAACAGCCTAAATACTCGTATCCATATTGAAATGATGCATTAGATTGAAGCACCAAACAGTTATTGGTCTGCTCGTCCCATTCATAACGCAATTGTCTGCCAAAAGAAAAGCCATATAAAACGCATTATAACTTATAGTGTACATGAGTGTCTAACACCATAATGCCAGACGTATAGACACTAGGGTGTGAGCTGATTAAAAGGTAATCTTGTAATCAAATGGTTTTTAGGAAAGGCTCCTGAATGAATATGTTTTTTGGCAGCAGAGAGAAAAGATGCCAAAAAAACATGCTCACATGTAACCAATTGTGTAGATTGGGAATTGATACTTTCAATCCAAAGTCCTGCCATTTTCTCTTTGACTATGAAATCATGAAAAGGTAAAATAATTTTTGAAAGTTACATTTGAGAATACGTTTTGAGCAATGACTGATTTAAATACTTACCTTTTCCATTCAAAGTCTTCTTTTTTCTTGACATTAAAGGAGATCATTTCATTGACTATATCTCTATTATGTACAGTAATTGTTAATAATGCTTCTATACTCATCCTCTGATAGGACAAGATATTAGAAGATACCAATCCTGCAAATTTATTCAATGATTCCACCATATTGTCTTTCACTTTGATCAATTCTTGACGAGGATTCGCTTGTTCAAAACATTTTGATACTTCTTTATTAAACATAATCTGCGTCTGTAAAGAAAATTGACAGCTGAATATATGACAATTCTCCATGTGATTGTTACTGAGACCAAATAATCCTGTGAATAATGTACTATCTTGTAACAATATTACCATTCACTAAGTGATAAATTTACAGTGATCAATTGTTTTTGATCAATTTCCCTATGACAGTCAGATAGCTATGACAATATTTTTATGGGGGGAAATGTTAAGAACATAGCTATACTTACTACTGTAAGAACAACTTGTCCTGGATGTTTTACTACCCAGTCTTGTATATCACAACCTAGCCAGTCAGATAAACCTAGCTTTACATATCAGTTATACTTACTACTGTTAGAACAACTTGTCCTGGATGTTTTACTACCCAGTCTTGTATATCAAAACCTAGTCAGTCAGATAAACCTAGCTTTACATATCAGTTATACTTACTACTGTTAGAACAACTTGTCCTGGATGTTTTACTACCCAGTCTTGTATATCAAAACCTAGTCAGTCAGATAAACCTAGCTTTACATATCAGTTATACTTACCACTGTTAGAACAACTTGTCCTGGATGTTTTACTACCCAGTCTTGTATATCAAAACCTAGTCAGTCAGATAAACCTAGCTTTACATATCAGTTATACTTACTACTGTCAGAACAACTTGTCCTGGATGTTTTACTACCCAGTCTTGTATATCAAAACCTAGCCAGTCAGATAAACCTAGCTTTACATATCAGTTATACTTACTACTGTCAGAACAACTTGTCCTGGATGTTTTACTACCCAGTCTTGTATATCAAAACCTAGTCAGTCAGATAAACCTAGCTTTACATATCAGTTATACTTACTACTGTCAGAACAACTTGTCCTGGATGTTTTACTACCCAGTCTTGTATATTACAACCTAGCCAGTCAGATAAACCTAGCTTTACATATCAGTTATACTTACTACTGTCAAAACAACTTGTCCTGGATGTTTTACTACCCAGTCTTGTATATCACAACCTAGCCAGTCAGATAAACCTAGCTTTAAATATCTAAAAATAGCTATACTTACTACTGTAAGAACAACTTGTCCTGGATGTTTTACTACCCAGTCTTGTATATCACAACCTAGCCAGTCAGATAAACCTAGCTTTAAATGCCTGAAAAGAGAGTACATGATGATCAAATTTCTATATAACATCAGTGATACAAAAAATAGTCATATGATTTACTCAATTCAAAAAATCTTTATTTATTAAGGATATCACATCACAAACTTTATGATTTACTTATTTTAAGCAGAAGAAGTTATTGCACTCAAGTAAAGGAAAAGATTCTACTTACTTCTTGACAGTTTCAAACATACCAGACTCTACTGTACCTAACCATTGTTCAACAG